AACCTAAAATAAAATCTTAAACTCAGCTCTCAGCCCACCGTCTGTTCGTTGATTTTCCGGCTGTTTTCAGGTTGGAGGAAAACATCTCGGTTCCATCTGGTAACCCTCGTTCCCTGAGTAGGGAACAGAGACGTCTCGTCAGGAGGAGTTTCCAATGAATTGGGATCACGCTAGGGAGACAAACTCTTTCAGAGAAAAACGCTCTCTTTATTGTGTTGAAGCACACAGGGATAAAACGCGGAAACACAGTAGTGTTGTGGTTGGCCTTTTGCTTTAGAGATTTCCCATTTACAGTTGGCCCTCTGATTCCATGTATGGGGCACATATTGTTCATATGACATACAAACACAAGTAGACAAGTAGACCTACCTTGCACGCACAGAGTGTGTACGCCGTGATTGCGGAGAGGCTCTGATAAAATTGCTCACTCGCACACTAGCACCGTTTTTGATCGCACTGAATCAATGTGCTTTAACTCTAACATTTTACATAGAAACATGACGTTTTTTTGAGTCGGGATGAAGTATGACTTGTCTGCCATCCAGTGGAGGGGAGCTCGGATGAAATTTGACACCCAATTTGACTAAATTGGCCGTTTTATTCAGTGCCACATCTTGTCGAGTAAACACGACCGTGGCACCTGGAGGGTTAAAGGACAAGTTCGGTATTTTACACTTAAAGCCGTTTTAAGATTGTTTCTGATGAAATAGAATGGTTAAGATTGAAATTTGGACACATGCTCCTGGCCCGAGAATTTTTGGTTTCTGTGGTTGCCTCAAGTTGCTAGCAGTACGAGCCGCTTAAAGAGGTTGCTACTGGGCAGGGACTTGCTGGTCCATTCGTACAACACCGTACATCAACCGACAAGGTGGTCTACGCTCCCATCGCATGTCACAACTCGCATTGGGGTCGCATGAGGTATCGGGCCATGTATGTGCATGGTGTGCTTAACTGTGTGGCTAATGAGCTATCACAAGCTGTGATCCCAGGAGAATGGCAATTCGGAGAATGGCAACCTCATAACAAAGAATCAGCGTCTTCAGTCCTGCTCTGCTTTAGGTCGAGTTTGGAAGTGTTTGGTCTATGCACCTTGGATTTACCTCAGAAGAATTAGAATAACACGATTTGATTATGAGAACGATTTTTAAGGTAAGAAACATAATAAGCATCTTAGGCTATGGTTGTCTAAACTTTACATTGTAGCTACTAGTTAAACTGGTGCCAAAATGTTATGAAATGAGATTGGAGTGAAAACATGAAGCCTAATGCTAAATGAATATACATATACACACAATAATGTTTTTATCTTCGATAATTAAACACAGCATGATATAAAGTAGGCGTATTCTTTAATTGTGAATATTATAATGTTTACACTCACCTAAAGGATTATTAGGAACACCTGTTCAATTTCTCATTAATGCAATCATTTAATCAACCAATCACATGGTGTGGTCCTGGTCAAGACAATCTCCTGAACTCCAAACTGAATGTCAGAATGGAAAATAAATGTGATTTAAGCAATTTTGAGCATGGCATGGTTGTTGATGTCAGACGGGCCAGTCTGAGTATTTCACAAGCTGCTCAGTTACTGGGATTTGTGGCACAACCATTTTTAGGTACAACCATTCACGCACACCCCGATTCAAAATGGTAAGCTTGTAATAATGTTTTTTATTTCAGTGGTACTGGTGAATTTCCGCGGGAAACATTTTCCAGTGAAAATTCTTATGTTGCTCATATTTCCAAAAAGTAGTTTCTGTAAATCCGAAAATGACAGTATCCACATCTGCGTGGTGACTGACAGCTGCACATTCTCCTCAAAATATTGGATCCATCCACACTGTGCCATGGCGAGGCACAACCCACGTATAGTTGATAATTACCCAGATAACTGGAATTGCAGATTTCAAACATAGATGGCGACAAAGAGGGAAAAACTACGGACTGCAGACATATGTTAGATGAGATTAATCACGGTTAATCAATTTGCCTACATAAAATGTTCGTTTCATTTTGAACTTTCTAACTAATAAGCCGCTAAGTGTTTATTGTAATAATGTAATTTCTGCAACTCAGAGACAGCTTTGTATTTTTTTTACTTTAAAGCTACACTGTGTAACTCTTTTAGTTTATTCTTAGCTAAAAACACTTTGTTCTTTCAAAAATATATATGCTCATTAATGTATATTTACTTCGTTCAAGTAATAAAGTATCGTGAGTGTATAATATGCCATTGAAAATACATACGGGTAAGGGGTTCTAATGTCAGTCGCCATGTTGCCCCTCTATCTTGAAAGTACATTAGCCAAAGAGGGACATAACCGTTAATTCAAGCTTCGCCTTTCGCGTTTACGTTTGAGTTAACACTCATGGACGAGCTCGAACTGGAGGCCATGTTAATCTTGGACTACATTGGCCACCGTAGGAGTTAAAACGAAATCGGAATTGAGAGGAACAGAAACTAATATTCACTGGTAGGTCATTTACCTTTTCACCACTAGATGGGGATAAAAATAACACAGTGTAGCTTTAAGGTGGAAACAGGCTTCTAAAGTCAGTCTGGGAGGCTCCTGGATATTGCTGCGACAAAACCAAGACAAACACCAAGACAGAAAAAGATCTCAACTTTATTTTACACATGGATCCCAAATTATAGTGAATTCTGGAAAAGAATGGAGCCACTATGCATTGGATTTACTGGATAAAACCTGTTGTTAAGTCAACATTGCCATCTTTTAATTGAAAGTAGACTTGTGTGCTATTTCCAAATAAACCATTTTCACATAAAAGTAGAGATGACATCACCATCAGGTGCAGCTCTTCATATAATCTGATCGATCATTCGGTACTTTGCCAAATCTGTTGAAAACATATGTGTTTGCATGCTGTTCTGCCCACCAGGCTTAACCAGTCTTTATTTTTATTTTTACAAGAAACCCATGCTGGTTAAACAGCTCTAACCAGTCTGGACTAGCACAGGAATTCATGCTGGTATTTTCAACAGAAATTTCTATGGCAGAAAACATGAAGACTGATCAGTTTCACATATCCCGTTAACATGCATTTCTTGAGATTCTACACTGTGCCATTCCTTGGCACTGAGGTGAGTCTGATTTAATGTGCTCTGTAACTACATATCATTATCATTTCAACAATAATTATAGGTGGCATCTGTCAGCTCATGTGAGATCTGACATTTCGCTTGAGACTCGACATGGAACATTAGAACAGTGTAATAAAATAGAGAATCTATTCTCCTCCAGAGGCTGAAGGGTCTTTAGCCAATGCATACATTATGATTCAATTCAGAAGTTATTTAACACCTCCAGAACACAGTGGATTCATATAAAATGTTTCTGAGGCAGCTGAGTTATGACAGTACACAATGTTTAGAAAATGCAACAAATGTTGATTCTGAACTCTGTAACCACATTTAAGCAGACTCATTTCAGTAAAGGACATTCTGTGTGAAATAAGATTTACATCCAAAGCAGTTTTGCAAACGGAGCTCACTCTTCATTTTAAAATGCCTTTTCATTGAATTACACACGGCTCATTAACCTTTGGTGAATTTTCTGGATAGCAAACGGTAATATTCCCAATAACTAGGGTTGAAAGGCAAAATTAAATCAAATGATAAAAAAATTATTTCAAAAATAAACGTCTAGAGTACTGAGTGGTGAATTTACTTCTGAGCCTACAGGGTTTAGAGTGTGTGTGTATGTGTGTGTGGGGGGGAGCATTAGTTTAGCATTAGAATACATTCTGTGATATATACTCAAAACAAAACACCATAAAGGACCATATATCTTTGCAGACTTCTTAAGCCACTTACAAGCTCTGTGTGAGTTACAGACACATTTATTGAATAATGACCTAAACTTTGATAAGTTCTTTAAATAAAACTATCGCATGGCCTAGGAAGACTGTATGGACTATAAGCAGACTATTTTATGGTGCTTTATGCGTTTTGGGATCCTTTTTTGAGCAAACGAGGTTTGAAGATTCATTACCATGTAAAGAAAAAAAGGTTTGAAACAATGAAGGTAAGTAATGGCAATGTTCATGCTTGAGTGAACTAATCCTTTACATTTCCACCTATTTCCCACATAAATCTACTATTTGGCTTGTAACATTGCACAGTGTTTTTACAATTTATATATTTTGGACATTGGCTATAGATGCGTTTTACTTTAGTACAAAAAATCTCTTTACAGAGCTTTAAAATATTATAACTTTAAAACGTTAAAAAAATGTTTAACCATGGTAATGGCCAAAAAATAAATAAATAAATAACAAATAATAATAAATAAATAAATTTATTATATATATATATATATATATATATATATATATATATTAAATAAATAAAATAAAACTCAACTCAACGAAGACTCAAATGAAACCTTTACATAATTTTAAAAATAAACGTTCTTTCTTGGCATCAAAGTTTCTTTTGTGGCAAACAAAAAACCCTTTTGGAAGTGAACTTGAAGAGTGAACTTGAACCTGACAACTTCTATCAAAGAATGCTTAAATCAAAAATAATAAAAGTTTTACCTCATGACAAGATCTGGGTCTATATTTTTGCAGGTAGATTTCTGTAAAATCCCATATGTCCCATAACAACATTTGGTTACACTTTATTTTGATAGTCACTTTAGACATTCTACTAACTATAAGTAACTTTTCAACTACATGTCAACTAAGTGTCATTAGAGTATTAGTAGGCTGTAGTAGACTGTCAGTAGACTGTTAGGTTAGGGTTAGGTGTTAGGGTTCAGGTTAGGAGAACAAGTTGACTTGTAGTTGCTAAGTTACCTACAGTCAGTTGAATGTCTGTTGGGGGACCAACAAAATAAAGTGTTAGCTGATATTAAGCAGACAGTCTACTAATCCTCTAATGATAGTTAGTTGACATGTAGCGGCAAAGTTACTTATAGTTAGTTGAATGTCTAAAGTGGACTATCAAAATAAAGTGTTACCCAACATTTTTTCTAAATGAAACAAGAGTTTTGCGACACTCATTCATTCCAAAAACATGCACCAATCCCGATGGTTCTGCGGGTTGTGAGTTCAGGTGAGGGTCAAAAGTGTAAGGTACAAATCTCACGTGAACGTATTATTCAGAGAACAAGGAATGTAACCTTGCGTGAAACAGATGGCCGAGCATATGCTCTCCTGAAAAACCTGCAAACACGCTGCTGCCCATATGAGACTTAACGCACTAGAACTCATCGCCTGTTTATGTGCCAGTAACCTGGGACACGGCCTTTTATAAAGACCACTACAATTACAATCGTATCCCACATCATAGTTGACGGACATGAAGGTCACTGAGTTTCCCTCAATCTAGATGGAGTCAGAATGTTTGTTCTGTCCTAAAACAGAGATTTTTTGTGGTTCCCAACTGGAAAGCAAAGCATTATTTATACAGGTCTGTTAGTGACAACAATGCAGGAGCGATAGATCCATGAAGAGTTCAGTTTACAGCTGACGTCCAAACACCTCAATGCGAAAATGAAAGGAAAGCAGAGAATCGGAGACCAAGCAGGGTGGAAGAGATGTCAGGAGAGGGGAGGCAAAGCCCTTTATAACCCAAAGCAAGAAATAAAGATAGCGAAGACAGTTAGTAGAGGCCAAAGACGAGATTCGAAGAGTTTGGAGACTGAGGACCTGTTTTCTCCGAAATAGGCCACCTGAGCTGCAGAGAAGAGGGAAGAGTATAAAATTACACAAATAATTGTAAAAATTACACAAACTACACTGTTTAAAAATATGTTTTGAAGTACATTTTGTCAAGAAAATACTCTTACTCTTTCTATGCTTCAAAATGTCACGTGTTATTCGCCATTTCTTTGTAATTGTTTGTAAAATGTACTAGCACTTTCTAAGTGAAAATTGTTTCGTATACCTATTTTAGGTGTATTTACTATTTTCAACTTAAAATTTATTACAAAGAGAAAATATTAGTAAAGTAAGAATATATGGTTATAAAATTAATTTGCCTCATTTGGTCTTTGAAATGTTGTGAGTTCATATTGAAATAATGCAGATTTTGATATCTTTGCAAATCTGAGCACAGTTTTGAGACATTATTGAGATCTCGTGGTCATGGCAAGCAAACTAACTAACATACTAAAGTAACTAACAAAATGAACACAACCATCCAGAGCAACAACCAAAACCTTGACATATTTCAAGTACTTAGGAAAGTCTACAATTCATTGTAATGTATTATTACTTGCTGTTTCTTTGTAAATATTTGTGAAATTTACTAGCAAAATATCAACTGATTAAATGAGTGAAAATTGTTCAAAATAAACTAAAACACCAACTTTTAAACGTAAAATTTATTGGGAGGACTAGAAAGATATAGCTGATGTAAAGTAAGAATACAGAGAATAAATGAGTAAGTGAAAAATATTTTATATTAAATTTATATTGGAATCACAGACTTGCAGACACTGGTATCTTTGCAAATCAAAAAAAAAATGAGAGAGTATTGGAATATCTATTTCTGACACTGTAGAAAACACACTTTAAATGATTACTTTTAGAGCCAGATTTACTAAACAGGGCAAATTAGAGTGCGCAATTCCAAACAAAAACTCTGATGGGAGAGTAGAGTTCTGCCTGTGATCTACTGACGACACAGCTGAATCATCACATGTCCAGAATGACAACGCAATCTACCAAGAGCAGCACAAATTAGCATCTGGTTTAAAACATGTTTTTTTGGGGGGTGGTAAATAACGATGCAAATACCAGTAAATTGACTTGCGCAAACCTTGTAAATCGCCTTGCGTGATTCATTTAAAGCAGTACTATGCAGGATTTCCGTTTTTGTCAAACTGTGACCCCTAGAGTCGCTGTGGAGTACTTGTACTGTCGTAAATAGCACTCATACAGAGATGTTTCTGCACACACAGCCTGGTCCCTCCCCCTGTATACTGGTACCTGTTCAGTAGGATGGAAGCTGTAACGAGTGGAAATAAGGTGTGGCCCCTTTAAGAGCTGTGCCCTGTTGAACTGTCAGCAGTCTGTATTTTATGCGCCCTGAACACCACATGAATACAGTGCCAGGTTATTTCTGTTTGATGCTCATTTTAGCAGATCTTTCTTGCTGTAAAGCAATTTGTTACATTGCAAGAACTGATATCAAGCGACACTTCCTGATGCTGAGGCCGGCACGAGACGCCTAACATTCAACCCAAAAATAGTCATATAACCATTGCAATAACTCCGAAGCTATTCAGTTAAGGTAAAACAAAAACCGCATAGTGGTGCTTTAAATACTCTCCTGACAAATGCATATGCAATACGGTCAGCCTCAAAAATAACTGTGTCCAAGCCTTTTATAGAGCCAATTTTTCACTGTGTGTCTTCCGTAAATCCTGACAGTAGTTGACGCCAAAAGAGGGTTTCCACTGGTACAAGCTGTTAGTAAATCATTTTTTTTTAAATACACCCCCAGTCCCAAAGCAGGAGTGAAATTCTACCTATGTTAAATGTGAAAACAGCTTTTCTACAAGGCTTTTTATTGCATCAACCCACCCTGATCACCTGGCTTTAGTCTCAACTCACCAACACATGCTGTTCCTTCATCATTAGGCTCGTATCCCTGGTTACACCTCTTGTTTGCACGGCACTTGAAGCTCCCGTACGTGTTCGTGCAGATGGGGCGCTCAGAGGGACAGACAGACGGGAACTGTGTGCACTCGTCTCGGTCTAGGGAGTGAAGAGGATTGGAATAAATATGAGGTCTGATACATGATGCTATGGTGAAAGCCACATTTACTTGTGAAAGTGGATGCTTCAAGTTATCATTACTGTATATGTGTCAGTGTACTGTAGTTATCAGTATAGTAGTCGCTTCTGCAAGTTTAGCTTCTACTATCAAACAATAGTGATGGCTGACATAGCTTCTGCGCCAACACCGGCTGAGCTGTCTTGCTGTATGTTGCCTACATAGGTAGCTAACTGAAATGGAAATTCATAACTCATAACTAAGTTATTGATTTGGACTACTCTGCACCACATTATGCAAACAGGGGTTCTCTTACGAGAGGTTCTCTCGTATTGCGTAAGCTAGCTTACGCTAACGAGAAAGATTCATCTTTTCTGAGAAGTTGAAGCCAAAAAATTATCCTTTAATTTTGTATCCATTGTCAACGCAGTTCATCTGCAGCAGACCATGAGCGGGCTAGCTAGCAGCTCATTGGTTCGCTCAGGGAGAACTGCTACAGCCTATGAGGGAACTCGGTTGAACTCGCAGCCAATGAGAAGCTGACACACTCTCATTGCGTCAAAGCCCGCCAACGGCGTGGCCCGAGTCTATAAATAGGCGAGTTTCCCGCTGTTTTCCGATTTTTATCAATTCAGCGAGGCTATATGCACCTGCTGATCTCCGAGAAGGCATCTCTTACCGAGCGTGGACAGAGTCTGAGGAAGCCGGCCGTCTTCACCACCTTCAGCCATCCTGTGAGCTAACGCCATCTGGCGACGTATCCTTACATTTGTATTTTGCTTGTGTAACTTCACAAAAGAGCAGCGAGCGTCTTTTTAAAGATGCCTTGCACACCTGCGGCTCATGCCACGCCCCTCTCAGCGCCAGAGTCCCGCGCTGTACGAGGGACGAGCCGCTTACAGCTGTTCCGACCGCGGCTAGCTTTCTTTAATTTACAAGGGAGATACCCCGTGCCCCGTGCATAGCTTCACCAAAAATGAGTTTATGGTGTGTTAGTTCCGCCGAGGCTGGACCTGTTCACCACTATCACGGCCTCTTATCTGCTCGCGCTATTAAGCTTGTCTTTACTGCTGTGGCTCAGTGGTAAAACACAAAGCTTTTCGCGCCAGAGACCCGTGTTCGATTCCGGCTCTTGCAGATCATATTATGCAGCTTTGAGCTCGCGGCCAGCTTTCTTACGTTACAGAAAGCGGCCGCGCTCTCCCGCGCACATGCGTCAGCGGCGACATGAGAAACGAGTGTGTTTTTAGCCCGCCGAGGCCGGTTAAGAACCCAGCTCTCTAACGTTTATCTTTCTATATTGCAGCAACGAGCCTGTCATAACATGAACGCCTGCAATATCGCCGACAGATTAAGATTGACGCTATTTCTTTTCAAGTGTAATAGGTGCCCACACCCCTGTGCTCACCCATATTGAAACGCAGTATTCCCATGTCTAACAGAGCCCACTCTCTTAGCTGGCTATGCCACTAGAGTGTTATATGTAACAGATGTGCCCACGACTGTGCTCACATCTTTCTGCCCGCTCTATTACGAGCCGTGCACGCGTCCCTCCTCTGCATAAAAGCCTCTTGTGTAGAAAAATGTGCCCACAATCCTGTGTTTACCCATACACAAAAGCACCACATGTCCCGTGTCTCTCTCAGAGCCCTGTCCCATAGAGCGGACACAGCCCACTCGAGTGTCAGAGTGCATAAGCGTGCATAAGCGTCCCCCCTCTGCCCGCTCTGTTACACGGCCCATAAACTCCTCTCTGAGTTAAGTCACGTTGCCTTAAACATTCTAGCGTGCCCACACACCGTGTCCAGCCCACTATGTGCAACAATCAGGGCGATATAGCCATTCACCCGCTAACGTCGCGCTTCTAAGCGTGGGAAGCTATTCCGGGAATCTCCCCATGGGTGCTAAGCACAATTAAATACGGCTATCTGTTACAGTTCCGTTGCCGCCATCCACGCTTCCGGGTGCGGCTCGAAACTACAGTGAGTTCAGAAGCAGCAAACACGCTTCACTCAGTGATAGCAAAGCTTTTGTGCAAAAGGGCTCTAGAGAGAGTTCCACCTTCTATGAGCGAGTAGGGGTTTTACGGCCGTTATTTTCTTGTCCCCAAGAAAGACGGCGGCCTCAGACCGATCTTACAGTAGATCTTAGATTTTTTAACAAAGCGCTCATGAGGAGACCGTTCAAATGCTTACAGTCAAGAAACTCCTCGCGCATGTACGCCAGGGGGACTGGTTCATCTCTCTAAATATGAAAGATGTCTATTTTCAGATCCACATAAATCCCTGTCACAGGCCTTTTCTACGTTTCGCCTTCGACGGCCAGGTTTATCATTACACCGTCCTCCAGTTCAGCCTATCCTTAGCACCCTGTACGTTCATGAAGTGCATGGATACGGCGTTTGCCCCCCTGCGGAGTCAGGGGCTGCGAATTTTGAACTATTTGGACAACTGGCTGATTTTGGCACAATCACAGATGGAGTTACCGTCTCATCGTACAGTTCTCCTCGACCATCTGAACACATTGGGCCTCTCTGTCAACTGGACAAAGAGCTTACTTCAGTCCAGTCAGACGATTTCCTTCCTGGGAATAGATCTAGACTCAGTGGCTATGACGGCTCGCTTATCTACACAGCGAGCGCACACGCCGTGTTCAGCGTCTAGCCGCATCCTTTCAGATGGACACCCTCATGCCTCTGAAAACTTTTCAGAAGGCGCTGGGTTACATGGCCTCAGCCTCCGCAGTGCTTCAGCTGGGTCTACTGCGCATGCGCCCCCTTCAGCTTTGGTTGAAGAGCCGTGTGTCTCGCCGTGCGTGGACCACAGGCCGCCAGCTGATCAAAGTTACGCAGATCTGTATCTCAGCTCTGCAGCCATGGACAGTGGCAGAATGGTTTCAACGGAGCGTTGGGACCGTCTCTCGCCGAAAATTCATTTCGACAGACGCATCCAACTCAGGTTGGGGCACGGTCTGCGAGGGCTCAACGGCCTCTGGCCACTGGTCAGTCAGATGATCGCGGTCGAGAACGCGCTCACGTTTTTCCTCCCACGCATTCGGGGTCACCACGTATTGATCCGCTCTGACAATACGACTGTAGTCTCCTATCTCAACCGTCAGGGCGGTGTCAGATCCAGGAACCTCTTCCTGCTGACGAAACGCATTTTAGTTTGGTCCCAGAGCCACCTGCCCTCGTTAAGTGCGACGCATGTGACGGGCCATCTGAACGACGGCCCAGACAGACTGTCCAGGAACCCCATCCTTCTGGGAGAATGGTCCCTGCCTGTTCAAACAGTCCAGAAACTGTGGCGAATATTCGGCAGAGCAGAGGTGGATCTCTTCGAGTCAGAGGAGAACGCTCACTGCCCAATATCGTTCTCAAAGAGCGAGGACGCGCTAGCCCAGGAGTGGCCCAGCTGCCCGCTTTATGCATTCCCTCCAGTCTCCCTGTTGCCAATGGTCTTACAGAGGATCAGGGAAACACGCCACTCGGTGCTCCTCATAGCCCCAAGTTGGGAGAGTCAGACTTGGTTCCCGGAGCTCGCTCAGCTGTCGCCGACAGCCCCGTGGCCCATTCCAGTCAGAGCAGATCTCCTCTCTCAAGCTTGCGGCTCGATTTGGCACCCCCATCCTCAGCGCTGGGCGCTTCATGCTTGGGTGATCAACGACTATCTGTTGCTTTGCCAGAGGGAGTGTTAAACACGATCATGAATGCCAGAGCGGCTTCTATTGGAAGCTCTATGTGTCAAAATGGTCTGTGTTCTCAAAATGGTGCACCGACAAAAACATAGACCCACTGCGGTGCGAGGTGTCGTCTTTGCTCGTCTTACCTTACCTCGGGAGATGCTGGATATGGACAGGTCCCCATGCACTCTCAAGGTTTACGTGGCAGCTGTCGCGGCGTTCACTGAACCCCGACGCGCTCAGTCTCTGGGAAAAGACGAGCTAGTCATCCCCTTCATCAGGGGAGCTAGAAGGATGAACCCCCGCGCCCCCCTTCGGTTCCCATTTGGGATCTTTCTATAGTTCTCGGAGCTATGAAAGCCCAAACCTAGACATGGCTATGTCCCCAAAGCGATTGGTACCCCGTTCAGGGCTCAGGTTATTTCCCTATCGGCTCTGCCTGATCCGATAGTGAATGTGACGGCAATCTCCTTTGTCCGGTTCGGGCTCTGAGATTGTACACTACACGCGCTGCTGAGGTCAGACGCTCTGAGCAGCTTTTCGTTTCTTTCGGTGGGTGCACTAAAGATCTGGCCGCCTCGAAACGGACACTATCCAGATGGATAGTGGACACTATTGCTTCTGCTCATGCGTCTAAAAACTTGCCATGCCCTCTGGGCATCAGGGCTCAATCCACTAGAGGCATAGCCTCATCGTGGGCATGGTCCAGCGGCATTTCCATTCAAGACCTATGCGTGGCAGTGGGATGGGCTTCCCCTTCCACATTTGTCAGATTTTACAATCTGGAAGTACCCGCCCTGCAGGCTAAACTACTCGTAGTCTAGTATGCTTCAGCTCTTCTGTTTTGAGCTGCACTATTGGGAATGACACTCATACAAGCGGCGTGCCGCTTGTTCTTCCCTTGTGCGTATGTACTACACAATCCCGGCCCGCTTGCTGGCCCTTTCATGTTTCCCTTTCGGGGCGGCAGTGGCTCAGTGGTTCATGTGGGTTGTCTACGAACCGAAAGGTTGGTGGTTCAATCCTCGGTTCCACCTGGCCAAGTGTCGAGGTGTCCATGAGCAAGACACCTAACCCCAGCTGCTCCCGACGAGCTGGCTGGCGCCTTGCATGGCTGACACCGCCGTCGGTGTGTGAATGAGTGTATGAATGGGTGAATGTGAGGCAATATGTAAAGCGCTTTGGTGGCCATTAGGTCTATGAAGGCGCTATATAAATGCAGTCCAGTCCATGTTCACGTACATTATTAATTCCTACTTATAAGGGTCCCCCGGGATCCCTCCCCCTGGACTCATTGTGGATGCTTAGCGCGCACGGTGTTGACCATGTGTTCCCGTAGCGTAAGCTAGCTTACGCAATACGAGAGAACCTCGGGTAAGAGAACGAATCAGTTACCTAACGTAACCTCGGTTCTCTCTAGATGAGGGAACGAGTATTGCGTTCCCGGCTGTGCTTGCAAAACTAGTGTTCTCGCTTCATTCAATGAAAACCGGAAAACAGCGGGAAACTCGCCTATTTTTAGACTCGTTGGCGGGCTTTGAGGCAATGAGAGCGTGTCAGCTTCTCATTGCCTGCGAGTTCAACCGAGCTCCCTCATAGGTTGTAGCAGTTCTCCCTGAGTGAACCAATGAGCTGCTAGCTAGCCTGCTCATGGTCTGCTGCAGATGAACTGTGTTGACAATGGATACAAAATTAAAGGATAATTTTTTGGCTTCAACTTCTCAGAAAAGATGAATCTTTCCCGTAGCGTAAGCTAGCTTACGCAATACTCGTTCCCTCATCTAGAGAGAACCGAGGTTGTGTTAGGTAACCGATTAGTTTCATTGTTTCAGAATCACAAACTGTGCAAATAACAACTGACTCACAATTACTTGACTTTATGTTAGGACTTTTTTTTGTGCCTTTATTCTAAATTATTCAACATAGTTAAAGTTTGCAATAATTCTATAACTTTTGTTCACCAAGGCTGCATTTATTTGATTAAAAATATAGAAATACTGTAACAATTCAAAATAACTATTTGAATATATTTTAAATATCATGTATTCCTTTGATGGAAAATCTGAATATTCAGCAGCCATTAATCCAGCCAGTGTTACATGATGCTCTATAAACCATTCTAACATGCTGATTTATATATTTTGTAAATGACATTAGTCTTGCTTTGTCCACCATCTTTCATTTTGTCACCTTGTTGCAATCCATTAAGGGATTTAGCCTTTACGGAAGGTTAGAAGTCACAGAGCTCAAATACTTACCAGTGCAACGGCTGTTTTCATTGACCTCAAATCCTGGTCCACACTGTGAAAATAAAGAACATTTGTTGAATACAACAATTACACTTTTCAAAGAAAGAAAGAACACATCATTGTTTTCTCCAGAGCTGATTTATAACTGAATTGAACTAATTCCATTTGGATGAACAATGCACAGTTATTGAACCAAACCGAATCAACACAGAATGAACTGATCTCAACTGAATAATGATTGTTTAGTGTTGTCTTTTTAGAGTTGCTTTACAGTGATTTGAATTATGTTTACATCATTGAATTATTTTCCTTTTTATCACTGTTAAGCTGCTTTGAAACAATCTGTATTGTATAAAGCGCTATAAATAGAGGTGACTTGACTTGACTTGAGTATGACAGGTATGTACCTCGATCTCCAGCACTGGGGTCACCTCCTCCTCATTCTCAGGGTAATAGATCTCCATTACTTTGTTCATATCACTGGGCTCCAGAGGTCTAGCCACTGAACGTCCATCTGGCCAGAATACTTCCACACTGGTGGCCACATCTTTTCCTGTCAGGGCGGAAAAGAAGCAATCCTTTTGATACTTTATGAACAGTCTGCGTTTATAACTTCCCCTCAGGCTTAGGAGACATAATGAATGATTTATTTTCTTAATGTACAGGTCTCCATGGAAAAATACCATTCTGGAGAAAGGGCCCTCCCAAGAAGTTTCTCGGCAAAAGCCAGGTTGGAATAGGCTCTGGTTTGGCACATGCCATGTAGACTCTTAAACAAATGCACAAGAATGTGTTCAGTCTCAGCTGTGGGCAGCATCGTGAGCAGCGAGGCCTGAATACGTCTCATTTGATGTCGGCAAAACCATTTTCTCATGACTGCCGGTGTGTGGGGTTCACACGCCAGAGAGTTTCTGGCATAGCAGACACTGAGGCATTAAAGCAATGAGGCTCTCATATGCCAGACCGATGAAATCTGTCTGTTGTTCAGCGGAAGATATAAGGAGCCATATAAATGGCACGGTGGTTGGAAAGCACTTCATTTAAAAGGGTTTACAGCAGCATCCATTTACTGACTTCAATCTGATTGTCAAAGACACTTTCTCACAGACAGCGGGACAGCAATTAGCATGGCAGTTAGAGGAGACCGTTATAGTGATCATGAATGGAGAGATCATCCATTAGAAATGAATGTGGTGGAGGAGGAAGGCAGAAGTTCAAAGGAGCAGAGATGATGAGGGACAGGGTGGGCTCTAGACTTTACTTCCATTATAGCCTTTAGTCAAGCAGGAGAGAAGCTGACCGCTTTCCCAGTTCTTAATTAAAGTGACATTTCTTAGGTAAACAGATCCACTGGGCTCCTGGCATGGCCCGGACTGGCACAGGTGTCTCTTCAAGACAAAAAGCATTCCAACAGCGCTTACTGAAAGACACAGTTTAGTTGGGGAAGACACTTTGGGCATCTTTTGGGTTTTAATTTAATAAAAGGGTAACACTTTGCAATAAGATCTCATTTATTAACATTATTTAATGCATTAACTAACATGAACTAATACTGAGCAGCACTCTTACAGCATGTATCACCTTTCTTAATGTTAAAGGTGCAGTAAGAGATTTCTCAAAACTGTTGTTGAACACTGATTTTTTTAAATCAACTCAAACAAACACACCGCTTCCTTCAATTATCTTCCCCCAAAATGCACGTACATTCAATGTATTTTATTATTATTATTATTATTACAGCAGATACAAACTTGCAAAGAAAGATACTGCGTCATATAGATAAAGCAAATTTGCAAATGAATGACAAGGAATATACAAGCAAGAGTTTGTTGATATTTGCCCGCACCAGACAAGCTCTAGACATGACACTCAAAAATTAAAATGTTCCTCACGTGGAGCAGAAATAACGCAAACCCTAGGCCTTCCCACTTAGGTCTCTCCAGCACTGGAAAACTTTTATAATGGGTCCTTAAGCTCTTTCTCACTCTCTATCATCCCCCATTATGAGTGAACACACCCCCTGCTGCTACAAAAATACCATAAATAAAATTACTGGTAGCAGATCTATACAGGTGGAGCTGGGGAAGTTGGAGAGTCTCAGAGGGATTATTAAGCATGCTGCAAACTGCTTTAGCAAACAATAACCAGATATTTAAACGCTGAGCAAAAAGTTCATTGGATTCAGATGTGACAGGGACTAGCTTGTGCCATGTAGTAAACAATGTAAATATCATCAGGTTGCATTAAAGACCAATCAGCCTGCGCCATCTAGAGTTTCATGACAGACCTGAGTAGGAAACAGAGACGTTTCGTTGAATGAAGACGACATAGGGATCGCTTAAAAGCCTATCACCGTCGAAAGAAATTAAACGAGCCAATGGCAAGGAAATGCCATGGGTCTGCAGAATTTGGATGGCATAACTCCGCCTCACCGCGTGGGTATAAAAGAACGGATGCCGCAACATGCAGATATGTTTCTTCGCTGAGGAGCCAAGACTGAACTCTGCTGTTCCAGTTCATGGGGTTCCCAAATGGGGTTCCCAGTCCGATCGCTCCACCTCAGCTGGCTTCCAGTCTCCCGTGTAAGTAGAGAATACACATATGACCCAGAGGGGCTGCATGTGGAGAAACATCTGGGGTGTCCAGCTGCAAGTGGAATAATATGCCAGGGGTGGCAGAGTGGCTTGTCAAGTAAAAGACACATGGTCAGATAGGATTACAGTGGAAATACACATGTGGGGCTCACCCAGAGGGGGAACCATATGCATGGCGGCACCAAGCCAATCCTGAAAGCTGGCGGAGGCATAACTGCCGTTGACGTCAACAGCGCTGGAGGAAATCAGGGATTGTGAAGCTCACCTGAGGAGGATATCGCATGTGTCCAGTCCGTGGAGTGGAATGGCGAGCAAGCGAAGACAACTGAGCAGGACCTAGTAGTTGACTAGTTGAAGCGAGTACACGGGACACTGGCTCAACTTGGAGTTTGTAGAATCTGCAAATGTGATGGGTGTCACCCAGCCTGCAGCTCTACAGATGTCTGTTAGTGAGGTGCCATGCCCTAGATCCCAAGAGGAAGCCACACTCCGGATGAAGTGGGATTTCGCACCAAGGGGGCATGGTTGACCTTGCTGCTGATATGCCAAGCAATGATGTACACAGCCTCTGCTTGGAGAGAGCATTTCCCTTCAGCTTCCCACATAACAGAAAAAAAACTAGTCTGAGGTCCTAAAACATTGTGTTCTGTCTACGTAAGCACAGAGGGCGCGTACTGGACAGAGCAATGCCAAGGCTGGGTCTGCCTCCTCCAGGGGCAGTGCTTGCAGGTTCACCACCTGATCTCGAAAGGGAGTAGTGGGAACCTTGGGCACATATCCAGACCTGGATCTCAGGATCACAAGAGAATAGGCCGACCCGAATTCCAGGCACGCTTCGTCAGCGGAAAATGCATGCAGGTCCCTTACACTCTTAATGGAGGCCAATGAAACCAGGAGCGCTGTCTTAACCCTCAGGGGTCGGCTATCGCGCTGGCACAACAAGCTCAATTTTTTTCTCACATAGCAGCAAAATAGACTTAAAATACTTTTGGCCAGGAGGAAAGTCTTAGCAGTGTCAATCAACCTTGTGTACACGCTGATCACATCCCTATATCCCCCCCCCCCAATCCAAATGGTCCATTCTAAAATGCGTTTGCCTGTGACCATCTTGAACAGCGTTCGGCGGAAAGCGGACTGAGGTGTCTGAGTCGCCGGCTGGGTGGCAATGTGAAAGACGGGGTGTAGACCGAGGATATTTTGTCAGTTTTTAGTCACTGCAGTCTTAGGTCACCTGGGCCACCAGCCAAAGTATTCTCTACGTCGAAGATCTCGCTGTATTGAGCTCATCGAGTCTCGATCGTTACATCGCGATACACACCGTGATCGAAGCCCAAACACGTCAAAACAGCGCTCATGCCCATCAGCTGAATCTTTCAGAATACCACACAGAAATACACAGGCAGATCGTCTTTAGAAAAATACGTCTTTAGAAAGACGTGCCGCGTACACTGTTTTTTTTTTTTGTGAGAGTAAAGCTTGCAGCAGTGCTGAAGCGCCCAGGGAGAAACACACACGCTGTTCAGTTCAGCAGGCAGGAATATGAAACTTGCTGGAACTCGCCATCACACCGACTAGAAGCTTCTCGTCTAGAAGATTCTCAAAGATAGTCAGAGAATAGGCTGCAGGAGTGAAGAGAACTTTTTGGCTCTGAAGCGAAAACATATCTGCATTTTGTGGCATCCTTCCTTTTATACCCACGCGGTGGGGTGGAGTAACGCCATGCAAATTCCACAGACCCATGGCATTTCCTTGACATAGGCTCGTTTTATTTCTTTCGAAGATGATAGGCTTCTAAGTGAACCCCATTTCGTCTTCATGCGCCGTAACTCGAAGTGACTACGAAAGGGAACTTGGTATTTCATGTTAACTGTAGTTAACTAATGAAAGGTTATTGTAAAGGTTCACTAACAAAAAGTACCATGATATTTGATGAATGAATATACATTAAGGATTGATGAATGAATGTACATTAAGGATTTCTTAGACATGCATTTGTGACATAGTGTAAAGTATGACTAATCCAAAACATAACTTGGACCTTCATTAAAGGTACAATATGCGGGATTTTGCAGTAAAATATCCAAAAACCACTAGGCCAATGTTATATATTTTGTTTAGTTGCAGGGACGTGCACAGGAATTTTGAGGGGCAGTTGCTCTGACCTGAAAAAAGGGCACCCCCCCTCCCCCTCACGGGCTATATGAAGGAATATATTCAGTTGAATGTGTCACCTTCCAAATTGCCTTATCTGGCTGTGTTTATGTCCAAACGCAATGCCTCATCTTATGGTCTTATTATTATTTATAAAGATTGCAAAATGTCAGAGATGAGACAAATGAGCAAAAGAGTTCCTCATATTGTTGTTTATTGTTTTTTTAAATTATTATTATTTATTTATTTATTTGAAAAGAAATAATCTGGATTGAATGGAAAAACTCAAAAAAAGAAAAAAACGCTTAGATTTCGGGAAAAAATACAATCTTTTTTTGCCAATCCTGACCTCCCCCTGGGGCCCTAAGCAAAATTCTGCTATGGGGCCCTCTACCTGATCTGTGATGCCGTGAGCCATGTAAACCATTTGCCATTGCCACTCAATACCGCCCAATACAATCCTCACTCCTTTAAACAAAACAGTCAAAGAACAAGTACAACAATACAGAACAGAATGAGGTTCAAACAAACAATATTTACTGAATAAAGCGTTTTTATAGAATGTTAAGATAACAAGTGAATATTAACGTAAACATAAATAAGAAGAAAATAATAAAGTACAACCCTGAACTTTGGCTTTTGGGATTAACTTTGGTTCTCTCTACAGCCAGGGTATTTTTCGGAATCAGTAGCCTATGATTTTTATTTATTTATTTTTTTTATGCATGTTGAAGCAAATCTTGATTTATTGTTATATACTGAGGGATTTGCATTCATATTGACCAGAATGTCCAGCTAATCATCATTT